CCAATGCCAAAATGATGCTCCCTCTCATTTGGAGAAGAAAGTGTTTTTATCAGCTCACACTGCAAATAAGCTAGGACCACCCCAGTGGTGGCCATGAGGGGCCAGCAAGGGTCACCAGCTGCTGCCATCCCTTGTGTGCTCATTCTTCTCCAGGGAAGGAGACTGGATCCCTTCTGTGAGGGTTGAGGTTCTTGTCACTTAACCACAGAATCACTTAGGTTGGAAAAGACCTCTGAGATCAGAGTTGAACCTATGACCAAACACCACCATGTCAACCAGAGCGTGACACTGAGTGCCACATCCAGTGTTTCCTTTAACACCTCCAGGGGCGGTGACTGCACCATCTCCCTAGGCAGCCCATCCCAATGCCCAATCACCTTTTTTTTTTCTGAAGAAATTTCTCCTAATGTTCAACCTAAACCTCTTCTGGTGAACCTTGTGTCCTCTTGTTCTGTTGCTGGTTCCCTAGGAGAAGAGACTGACTCTCACCTGACCACAGCCTCCTTTCAGGTATTTGTAGGGAGTGATCAGGTCATGCCTGAGCATCCTCCTCTCCAAGCTAAACAACCCCAGCTCCCTCAGCTGCTCTTACAGGACTTCTGCTCCAGCCCCTTCTCCAGCTTCTCTGGACATGCTCCAGAATCTCAGGATCCTTTTTAAATTAAGGGGCCCAGAACTGGACACAGGACTCAAGCTATGGCCTAATCAATGCCAAGTTGGTTGGAAGAATCACTTCCCTAGTCCTGCTGGCCCCACTATTCCTGATACAGGACAAGATTCTATTTGCCTTCTTGGCCACCTGGACACACTGCTGGCTCAAACTCAACCAGATGTCAATCAGTACCCTCAAGTCCCTTTCTGCCTGGCCACTGTCCAGCCACTCTGTCCCCAACCTGTAGAACTGCAGGGGCTGTTGTGGCCAAAGTTCAGGACCCAGCACTTGGTCTTGCTAAACCTCATATTCTTGGAGTCAGCCTCTCTATTCAGTCTGTCCAGGTCCCTCTGCAGAGTCCTCCTACCCTCCAGCAGATTGACACTCCCCTCCAAATTGGTATCATCTGCAAATTTTCTAATGGGAAACTGTTGGACATCACCGGAAATGTTAATGGAGAAGGTAAGCCTTTTAGTTAAGGAAAACAGCTTTTTTATTTTTTTTTTTTAATCATCCTAAAACTTTTGCAGTGCTGCATTTAAATCACCAGATTTAAAATTATCCTCAGTTCACAAAGAATTAACAGCCTTACCAAATATTATTATTGTCACAGAATAAGAATGGCAATTATTTTTGGCGGAGGAGGAAGATGATCTTTTGTGTGTCACCCCCACTGTAAACCCCTATTTAAACTGCCATCCTGAGCTCAGTCTTGGCCACAGTTTTTGGCTGCAGGTGCTTTCATCCTGGAGTTTTGCCACTCCACAAAATGCCGGCACTTCTCAAATCAGGAAGCGACATCTGGGTAGCGGGACCCAGTCAGACTGCAACCCCCGTAGGGAAGGAAATGAGAAAGACATCTGCATCATTGAAACCTTACAGGACAGCAGAGTGTGTGTGTGGGGAGGGGGAGGATGGGGGAATCTCCTGAGAAATCCCACCTGCTCTTCCCTGCCTGCAGCCCTCCTCCCAACATGCCTCCCATGGCTGTCACCCAAACCCCCACACTTGCCCACTGATCCAGGCTCGGAATAGCTCCTGTCAGCAGCCAGGGAGCTGTGGCCAGCTGACACAGGAGGCAGCAGATGAAGGACATGGGGCTCCATCCCCATAGCACCCCATGCTCAGAAAAAGAGGGAAAAAAAAGGAAATAACATAAGGCAGGAGAGGAGGGGAGGATGCAGTGCAGCTTGGAGCAGGGCAGGCTGCGCCATGCGCTCTAGCTCTGGCACCAGCCACCTTGCTGCCCAGATGACCCTTTGGGGGGGGTCCAAAACTGGATCCTTACTTTTGGGGATCTTTCACATCCCATGTCCACTTCCACAGCCCTTTGGAAATTCCAGCTGTGCAGCAGGAGGAGAGCCCTGCATTCCTTGGAGGTGTCCCTGAGAGTGAGGGGGGCCAGTCCCTGTCACAGTGGCACCTCAAAGGAGTGCAGAGGCTCTCCCTGCACAATCTGCCTGTCACCACCAATCACTTCAGGTGTCACATGAGGTTTGTGTCACTCGGAAAGGTTCTATTCTCCTCGCTAGCTGTGACCAGGATGAAGCATGGGTTTAAAATGACCCCACTTGCTGTGGGAGAGGGGGAAGTTGTCCCCCTCAAAGCCCAGGGGATGTGCAGGTTTGCCCTGTGCCTGCCATACTGCAGGGCTGAGCATCCTCTGCCATGAGGCTGAGCATCCTCCCTACCTAGCATAACCCTGTCCCTGAATCTCCAGGGTGCTCTGGGGGATAAAGTCTGGGCATCTGAGTGCATTTGGGACAGCTGCTGAGGGGAAAGAAGGGGGTTTCCCTCACACTCCAGTATCATCTCTCTGCCCAGGTGCACCTGCAGTCTTGCAGGTAGCTTTGGAAGCAGGTGGCATCACCCCAAGGCTTGAGTGGAAAGGGGCTGTGTGAAAGGGTTTGGAGAGGGTTTTCTGCAGGTGGGGTTTCTCCAGGAAGGTAAAGCTGAGTGCATTGCAGTCCCTGTCCAACTGCTCTGGTTGCCGAGGTCCAGTTTTGGGTGGGAAACCCAGTGTGGTGTCTTCACAGTGATGGGGAGAATGTGGGGCTGTCCCTTGGCCAGCTCTTTCTGCCAGGAGTGCCTCTGTCTGCTCACCACAGCTGCTCAGGTGGTTTTGGGCCGTTCCCTCACCTTATACCCCTGGGAAGCTGCTCACTGATCACAGCCAGCAAAGCTGTGGTGGAGGCCCCAGGGGAGAGCATCAGCCCACAAAGGCAGTGAGGAAACCCATTCCGTGCCAGGTACCCAGGCAGGCACTGTGCCCCCTCCCACAGCTCCCTCACCACTCTAAAATACCAGCAATTCTGCATGGGGGTGTGTGTGTGTGTGTGTGTGTGCGTGCTTGTGCAGATATTGTGTTTGAAAATGACCAGTGCAACATCTCAGCCTTCCCTGCTGTGCCTGTGGACTGAAGTGATTCTGACACTAAGCAAAGGAAAAGGAGGCTGATCGAAGCTGAGTGGAATTTTTTTATTTTTTTTTTTTTATCTTTCTTTAAGTGCGAACACCATCTGTCTCCCCCAACTCCGTCAGCGCTTCCAGTCCCCAGGCAGCTTCGTTCTTCCTAATTACTGTCATTAGGCACTGGGTAGCAATTAGGGAGGGATGCTGATGAGCAGCATCAGGAAGGCTGTGGTCCCCTGACAGCATCGCACAGGGAACTGGCCAGCCCCTTCTCTCCAGCCCTGGCCTTTTCCACCCGGGGAGCTTGGTGGGTAGCACGGTATTTTCCTTTTTGGCAGAGGCCGACAGGGTGGAGAAGGGAGGTGCTGGCTGGCAGGTCCGTGTCCTGGAGAATGCTCAGAGAGGCCTGACACCACTGGGAAGGGGCTCCTTGGGGGAGCAGGACGATGGTGCTGGTGGGGGATGGAGCAGCTGCTCTCTGTGCCGCTGGTTGCCCCACGGGTGTCCAGCCACCAGCGACCATATCTCCGGAGCAGCCCAGAGGCCGTGGGGATGGGCTGTGTGGGCCGAGCCAGCAGTCGCCCTCCCGTCTGGCCCAGGTGGGGCCGGCCACAAGGCTGGCTGGCCGTGCCAGGTCCCGCAGGCTGCCCTGGGGCCCCGGCCGTGCCGTGCCGCTCCCGGGTGTGGTGTCAGTGCCACCTCGTGGCAGCCGCCCCGGGACCGCTGACCTCGCTTCTCCCGCAGCCTCCCTCGGGTGTTCCCCGAGGATGGCAGGGGCACACACGTGTCGCCGTGCCATGGCTGGCACTGGGAAGTGAGCGATGGGAAAGGTTCCTGTGGGACGGGATGAGATCCGTGTTCTGCAAGCAGATGATGGGGTGGCCACACAGCCCCGTCCTTGCAGCAAAGTGGGGGGATCAGGGACAGACAGACCCTGCAGGACGTTTGCCATCGGGGCATTACTTCATGCATGGGATGAAATGGTGCCAAGTTGCCCTCCCTGCCCTGCCTGCTGTCAAGGCTCTGCCCATGGAGGGGCAAGCTGGGGCTGTGGAGGCCTGTGGGAGTGCTTTAGGCTGGAGTATTTGGGCCTTTGGGTGAACTATCAGGAGACTAAACTGGTGGGTGAACCAGTAATGGGAGTGGAGAAGAAAAAGAGAGGGAGGAAAGCCTCACTTTGGAGACTGGGGAGCCTATGGGATTGAGAAGGCTTTGGCAGACATGACTGGTGGCTGCAGAAGACCCTTGGCCAGGTGTTCCCTCTCCTCACACTGCCGTGCACTGTTGGCCAGCTGGCTCCTGCCTCTAGGACCATGGATGACAACAAACCCATTTCCAAAGGGATAACAAGGCTTCTCTCCTTTACTACCAGCCTTTTTGGCGAGACTTGAAGGAGCTCAAATATGCTCATTACCTCTTCCAAAACAGGGTCAGTGGAACTGAAACATCATGGGAGATACCAAAGTGATTTTGTAGTGAGGAGGACTTTAGCCTCAACTGCTTTCTCTTGTGCAGGGGTTTCCTCAGACTTTCCCCTGGCTCTCTCTGAAACCTCATGCCTCTGCAGCCAGGTGAAGCCCAGCTTCACCAGCCTTTCTAGGCAGTTGTGCAGGCAGTGGGGTGGGTGCCAGGTTGAGGAGGAAGCACAGCTCCTGCCTCACAGAGGGAAGTGAGAAACTGCTGTGGAAAGTCAAAGACAGGCAACATTTCCACCCCAACCCCCCCCCAAAAAAAGACTTTCCCTAGTTTTGTCCTAATGGCCAGCTCCTGGCATGGCTGTGGGGTGAAGCAGGTAGCCAGGCTTGGCTGGTTCCTGGCTATGCAGGCAGCCATGTATAGGGAATGTGTTGATAAAGCCACTGTCAGGGGAGCCTCTCTGGCTCAAAGCCCTGCTGGACCCCTAAAGCCAGGAAAACGGGGACCCCATTCAGACCTCTGAGCATAACAATGTGTTCACTTTATTCTTTAATTTTTACTGCCATATTTTTCATCTCTATTCCCTTGGCTCTCCATGCAGACAGGATGGACAGCCCTTTGCACTGTATCTAAGGAGAGCACAGAGCAGGTTACAAATCCCTCTTGGGCAGTTTGGGAAGAAGGGCAGCACCGCCCCAGCACAGTTGGGCAGACACAATGCAGGGAAGACATCCCTGTGCCATAACAGAGAGGAGATCCAAGGGGATCTCGCTGCTTGAGGAATCCCGTGTGGATCCAGCTGCCACACTGTGTGCTGCAAATGCCAGTGGCATCCCATATAGGGAGGTACCTGGCTTAAGCTCCAGCAGAAATGAGAGCAGAAAGAGGGGCTTTTCAATAGGATTTATACGGTTGTTTCTTTTTCAAATTCCCAGATCTGGGGTGGACAGTGCATCCACAGGGCTGGGCTGCCACTGTCACTGGGAGGGAAGTGGATGTGGCTCCTGACAGTACCGCTCCATTTCCATATCGCCCCCATCTCCCCTGAAACAGGTTGCAGTGCTTCTAGTGACAAAACATCCCCCGACATGGCTGCGGCTCTTTTCCCCACTCCAGACACACAAAGGGTGTTTGAAGTTACTTCACAGAGTTGGGTGCAGAGCAAAAGGATGAGATGTCTGATCCATGCTGTGGCAATACCCCCTCTGCAAAGGGCAGGATGGCTGTTGTGGGTAACTGGGACACCGGCCCTTGAGTCTCCACAGTTTCTGCCACCCGTGTCTGATGTCCCAGGAGACAGCCACCGGGCACATGGATCATTTCTTCCACCACTCTCAGCCCCAAGGCTGAGATGGGGATCCATCCCTGGGTCATGCAGAGCCTCAGTCAGATGAGGGTTCACCTCAGTCAGTGTGTTAAGGTCTGGGAGAGGAACTGTGGTGAGGAATTTTGGCCTTGGCACCTGTAGCAGCGCCAGTGGTTGCCTTTATGGGACTAATACCATGAATCTGGCTGCAGTGCTACAGACAGGGGAGAAGAGAGGTGGTCACCCTTTAACAGTAGCGTCTGTCCTGCAGCTCCAGAGAGAACTCGGGCTTGGGCAGGGAGTCACCTTCCCATCATCAGAGGGACATCCCCTCCACAGAATGCCTCCAGCTGACCCTGCTGGGAGTATGGCACTTGGTGGCCCATTAGTGCCTGGTGTCAGTGCCCCCACACCTTGCTTGGCCAGTTCTGTTCAGTGTCCAAAGCCTCCCGGACGAGGAATCCACCTCATCTAGGGAAGAGCAGACCCAGAGATGGTGCTTCATGTAAATAAGCCCTCAAAGCACTTCTAAGTGACTAATCACCTTCTCCAGGGACTTCTCGCCAACCCAGAGTCTCTGTTCAGCCAGGGGACATCAACTGCTGTAATTACTCAGAATCAGCAATCCCACACTAATGAGTTCATTTCCCAAACAGAGCCCTTCCTGTGCAGTAAAGCCACTTACAGGTGGGTGAAGAAACCCATCTACGAGGAAATGCCTGGGATCAGCAATGCCGACCAGCTCTGGCACACAGGCAATGCCTTCAGGACACTCTTATAAATTAAGTCATCCTGCCTACGCTCACATCACTCCCTGACTGCTTTTGTGCAGTGTGGAAGCATCCATCCCAAGTGACACACGCTATTTCTGCAGCGACAGTGAGCTGAAGTGACGGTTGTCTGGGGCTCTAATGACAAGTTCAGGGAGCTCCACTGGACTAGCTGTCTCCACTGCCTGCCCCTGGTCCTCTCTAACTTCATGGACTGTAGGTCAGAGCAAGGACAGATTTTTTTTTCCCCTCTTCACTGCTTGGGAAGATATATGTTTTTCCCATCCCCAGGGCTCCTGGCTGTGGAGGGGGTTCCCATGAGTGCCAGTGGATGCCTGGCATTGTGTGAAGAGAGCCCAGAGGGTGGAAAGACCTGGGTGTCACAGAGTGCAGAAGACAGGGAGGCAGGACTGTGAATGGGGTAGATGTTGGATGTGCCTTGCTTCATATGGCCTCAAGTCTCCTTTTATTGAGGTCAGTAGCAAAAATCAAGCTGCTGTTGGGTGGGATTTGGTCCTAAAGTAACTCCCTGCTTCCTTTCCCCCTTCTGGTGTTCCAGAGCAATTGCCCATCCAGCGTGAGACCTGTCCAGGCACAACAGCTGCCTTGCAAATGGCACAGCAGTCCCTGCCACATTCCACCCTCACCAGTTGTGTCTCCTCTGCCTCTTCCCAATGGTTCAGCCATGGCAGCTGTCAACAGTCCATTGTAACTCAGCATGATCCACTTTGGCTTCCTCCAGCATTTACAGGTGTAAATGGGACTCAGCACAAAAAGGACAGTCATCTTAAAAGGCTGATCTTGCTAAAGGCAAAGCCTGGTTCTCACAGAGCTCATACCCATGGAAGGCTTTGCTTGTCCCAGGAACAGGCCAGAACTGTCAGTGTCCACAGGGGTTGGCCAGAGCACTCCAGCCCCATTCCCCTTGCCCTCAGACTCTCTCCTCTCTGGCACAGTTCTGGGTGGTTTTGGTGGTGACCAGTGCTGTGGCCCCCAGCTCAGTGGCGGGCAGTGGGAAGCTGTGGTTGCATTCCTCAGGCCGGGGGTACACGGCGGAGAGCAGAACAATGTCACCGTCAGCACTGCCCTGGCAGCATGGCCTCTGCTTTGCCTTGGCTTTCCTGGGTGGTCCTGGCATCTTCAGGCTCTCATCAAGATACAGGCACGGAGTTGGGCTCAGGGCACCATCTCCCTCTGGCATGGCAGGGTCCTGGCTGGGCAGGGGGCTGGCGATGTCTGTGTTTTCTGGGAAGGGACAAGAAAAGGGGGTTACTGGGCTCATGGAGTGGGGTCAGGCAGGTCCCAGGGAGATGGTCCTGTCCCTAGAGGAGAAGATGGATCCGGAACAGGAGGAGTCTGCAAGGTCCCCACACTTCTCCTGCTGCATAATTGCTCCTGCTTACAACCCGATGGGCTTTTCCCCCCCTAAAAGACAAGAGGGAAAGGCCGAAACTTGCACTTCCACTTCAAGTCCTCTCGCTGAACCCTGCCAGCAGCAGAAGAGCCCGGCCCGTGGCAGCTTGCCCTCCCCGACTGCCTCCCACTTAAAAATAGACTTGTTTACACACTTTGAATGCAGCCGTGTGCCTCCAGCCCCAAGCCTCCTGCCGCTTTCCACACATCCAGTGCCACAGCACTGGGCTTGCTGTGGTGCAGCCTTGGGGGACAAGGGGGATGTGGACCAGGGCATGCAACAGGAGACTGAGTAGTGCCTCCAACACTCTCCATAATGGCCAGATCTCTCTCAGCGCTGGATTTCTCCCTTCTCTTTCGTTTTTGGTATTTTTCCTAGGCATGTGCGTCACGGGCTGTCGCAGAGCAGAAAGGCCCCGGGTAATGTCCCCCCGGTCTGAGTCACCATCCAGCACTGCCAGAAGTGTGCAGGCAAGCCAGGGCACAGGGACCAGCTGCCCCACTGTGGACACCCACCCAGGTTGTGGGGCGGTGGTGAGAGCCAGCATCCCTATGCAGTAGCCCCTCTTGGGGGTCCTGGGGAGCCATATCCCCTACCTAGGAATGGGAGGAGTGAAGCCAGGCAAGACCACTTCTGAGAAGATTGTGCAAGGCTGAATCAGTGCCAGTGCAGGAGCCCCCAAGGGAGGAAAGAGCCGCCCCAACAAAATGGGCCATCATGGAGCACTGTGGCCTTACTCTTCTGGAAGTCCCCTGCTAGGAAAGGCTCAGCTCCATCCCTTGAACTCCAGCCCTAATTTTGCACCAGATAACCCTGTGCAGTGCTGCAGTGTCAATGGGGCTGGCCCTGATGTCTCACTAGGGTCTTTGGGATATGTGTTAGAGGATGCCGGGCATCCCAAGCATGAGAAACAAGCTGGGTAGTCCACTTAGGACCCCCATTGCAGCACCAGAGGGAGGGGCTGCCTCTGGAGCCATCCCCAGGTGTCCACCACTGCCCCCACTACTCCCAGTTCATCCATGGTCCTCTGGTTACCGGGGGAGAGGGCTCTCACCAGTGAGCTCACAAAGCTGCTCACCAGTGCTCCATCTGTGTCCCCTGTGGAGGGGGGATGGTGCCAGGACATGCTTTAAGCAAACAAAGGCACAGGGAGACATAGCAAAGGGAGGGATGGCTCAGCAGGGTTGTGCTGGCAGTCAGGTACAGGCATAGGTTCCCAGGGAATACAGGACACTGTCACTCAGGCAGTGAGTCAGATGTCCCAAAATGCCATAGGATGCCTGCAGAGCTGATGTTGAGGTGGAGGAGCTAGCCTGGACAGGGATGTGCCGCAGGAGAGCCAGCAGTAAGTGATCCCATCTACTCAGGGTCTTCAGGGTGTTGTGAGAGGAATAGGAAGAGGTCTCCTACCTTTGTCCTCTTCATCTGCTGTCTTCCTTATTCTCCTCCGCTTTCCCATCTTGCAGGCCAGGAAGCCACAGAGGGCAGCCAGAACCAGGATGAACCCCACCACCACCGGGACTCCGAAGGTCAGGAAGGTGCTGGTCAGGGTGGGTGCCAGGGTAGGCTCTGCTGTGGGGTGAGATGCCAGTAGTGTCAGGAGAGTTGAAGGAGGAAGGAGGGCAGCAGCATTTTTCACCTGGCTAGCTGGCCTGGGGGCTGTGGTGGCAGGGAAGAAGAGTGGCACTTAACTGTGACCCAGGTGCCACCAGCAACAAAATATCCCCCTGCTTGATGAGACCCTTACCCTGCTCCCTGTCCCTGGGTGGTAGGAGATGAGAGCCTCCTGCTCTTCCCACAGTCACCCCTGGGGCAGGTTGATACACCCTAGGGTGGATCATCTGACTTCTCCCTGCACCGTGTTCCTCTCACTGGAACGGTCTGCGCTCTTCCCCTCTGCTTTAGGTGAAGGTGGTGCTCCATCCTCCATTGCCACCCCCATAGCCATCCTCAGGAGAAGGTGCCTTCCACCTGCCCACCCCTGGGGTGCCCCCAGCCTCCTTGGCCCACCACCACCCAGCCCTGGGGAGCTCAGACTGCAGCTGCCCTTGTCCCCTTACTTGTGTTGTCCTTGAACAGATCGGAGCACTTGATGCACGACTTGGTCAGGGTGTCGAAGCACTCGAAGGAGAGGCAGGAGGGGGCAATGGCAGCTTTTCCTGATGAGGACATGGCAGAGTGGGAGTGAGAGCCCAGCTCTTGCATGGCACAGCAGTGACGGGGCCGCCGGAGTGTGAAATCGCAGCGCCCCAGGCCCCGTGGCAGAGGGAGATACAGTCTGTCAAGCTGCGTCGTCTCCCTTGGGGCTCACAATCGCTGTGCTTGGCCTGGGGCGGATCTTCACCAGGGAGGAGGAGAGCAAGCGACCAAGCCCTACCCCTGCCTGCCTTTGCAATGTGCCCTCAAACTACCCCTCTCCTCCAAAATATGCTTCCGAAATCCCCGCAGCCCCTCGTGTGCCTCAGCCACGCAGCACCTCGTACGCAGCGGTAGTGTGTCCCAGCCTGACCTCCTGGATCCTCACTCCTCCCCTGCCCACCTGAATGTTGCCCCCAGCCCAGGCATGTCCCCCAGTCTGCTCCTTCCTTTGCTTACACTGAAAAGCCCCCTCGACCTCCTCCAGTGTCTACAGGAGACTTTCCTGTGCACAGATCTTTACACGACTCAATCCCAGGGGCACAGATCTGGCTTGGATTGAAAATGCAACGGACCAGAGGAGAAAAGAGTGAAAGGGTACTGATGTTTCCCCTTTTAAAAGCTCCCACTGGTCCAAGGACACGTCCTGCCAGTGACTGCTCTGCAAGCAGGCCAACTGTTGTATGTTCTTCACCCCTATTGACAGTGCTCTCCATCACCTTGCTCTCTGCATCCTGTCCAACACAGACCTGGACCTGTGGCTCCTCAGCACCATCTCTCATTCTCCAGGGTTCAGATCTGGTTCTGCTCAGTAAATGTGCAGGGCATGGGCAAAGCAGGTCACACCAAGCAAGCCTGGTCCTCAACCATTAGAAAGGACTAAAAGAACCCTTTAATAGTCTTAAGCATTCCTGATCAGGAGCAGGAGCTCTGCCACCAATACCCACGAATCAATGCCTGATGCTTGAGACCTGAAGAGATGTATTTCAGTGCTGTAGGTGGATTTCTTCCCTTCCTACTGAACAAAAGTCCCATCCTCTTTCTCTTCACTCCATAGGAAAGAAAGGGGCCAGCCACAGTTGTTCGCTGGCTCTCAGCTGAGGGAAGCAACACTTCCCTCAGTGACCTGCCCTACCCAGGAGATTTATTGCTGGAGTCATGTCCTTCCAGCAGCTACAGCATCTGGACTCCTTCTAGGGAAGCCTCTACTGCTCAATGTCCTGGATCAAGGCTGGGAGGGGAGGACAAAAAAATCGAAAGGGTTCTCTGGCTCAAGCTGACAGAGTACCAGGTGTCCCCACTAGGCAGCTGTGGTCCTCTGATACAGGCCTGAGGACTTGGTCCCTAAATGTGCCTGCCCCTCACTAGTGACTGTTGGGCAAGCTGAGCCCACAGGCTCCACATCCCACCTCCTGAAGTCTTCAGTAGGATGCAGTCACCAGCTCCCCATGCTAGATCTCAGCCCAAGTACAGTTAGTTCTTTGGAACCCCATGCCCTGCAGGGGAGGAGCTGCCCTACAGCACATCTCCCTCCTTGCCAGCAACATTCCTAGAGGATAGTTTGCATCACAGCAATGTCAAAGCAGCCCCAACATAGTCTCAGCCCCACTGTGGGCACTGCAGGGCTCCAGGCAATCCAAAGTCCCAACCAAAAACTGGTCACTGCCCACAAGTTCCACACCTGCCATGGTTTCACTTCCCCATCCAGCCAGTGTGCCCAGGCCCTTGGTCCCTCACCCCTGTGCCATGCCAGCAGGAATGGCTGCCAGAGGGATGTGGGATGCACTGAGGAGCTGTGAGAGGCCAGCCATTCTTGTGCCTGTGGCTCAGTTATTCCCACTCCATCTTACTCAAAATAAAAATCCCAAGTCGAGTGAGTGGCACACCAAGCACTTCTCTCTCTCAGCGCAGCCCTGAGCCACAAATGGCACAGACAGCTCAGCACCCTCTGCCTCGATGCTTGCAGTGAGCAGGCTGCGCTCACCCTGCTCGTACCTGCTGGGGGAGCTGGGTCCAACAGCAGGACATCTCTCCATATCCCACTTTAGCTGACCCTCTGCCTCTCACACACCCCAGGTGAGGACCAGGGCTGGGGTGCAGGCATGGGAGTTGGAGAGACAAGTGTCCAGCAGCAGGGCAGCTGGAAGGGATGGAAAGCTGTGATGCAGTGCCATGACCCACAGCAGGGGGGAAAATTAAAGCCAAGGCTCACTCCAGTCCACATCTGAGCTCCACAGTGGAAAGATCTGGCAAGGAGAGGGCACCTGGAATCCTCACTGTTCCCAGTAGGCAACTCTCAGAAGTGCAAGTGTAGGATCTAGGGCTGAGAAGATACTTTGTCTTGTGAGCTGGTGGGGCTGAGGACATGCATGTAGGCAGAGGATCCCCACAAAACATCCAGTGCTCTGTCAGGATACTTATCCCCAAACCACCTCCCTGCTCCAAAGGCCTTGCAGTTCCTCTTGCCCTGGGGTGTTTCCACCTGCTAGTCTCCTTTTCCCAAAGACGTATGCTCCTCCATCATTCCCATTTTCCTCACCTCTCAAATGCCCCCACTGCACTTCCCCCATGTTGATCATCACTCAGGGACCCCCAGCCCCTATTTCTGGGGGTCCCACAACAGGACTGTCACCGTGCCTCTCTTCCTCCTGTCTCTCCCTCCTGCTTGGCCTAAAGTGTGGAGTGGGAAATGGTTCCAAGCATCTGCAGTACCACACTTCCAGATTAACTCTGTGAGCCCTCCAGTCAAATACGCACACTGGGGAAAGCCCAAACCAAGTAACCTACACAGTGCTTTCAACACGGAGAGTGAGATTTACATTAAAGCTCAGGAGCTGACAGATCCCATTTCAGGACATGGAAAGAAACCTTGAAGTTTCAAATGCATAGTGGGGAGCCCAGGGATGGCAGCCATCATGTCCTCCTGTGAATGAAGCATTCCCAGATCATGTTACATGGAAGGAAGATCCTGTTATATGTTGGAGCCTCATTGATGCCACTGATGTTACCCAATTTTCCCCCCATTTTCTCACCCCTCTTTATCATGCTCTACAGGTCTTCCCTGCCCTCATCCCAGCTTGTCCGCCTCCTCCTGGGCCAAGAAGATATGTTTGAATTTACATGATAATGCTTACTCAAGGAGAAAACCAGTGCTGACCATCCCAGCAGCACTCACACACGTGTCTGCTCATGAGCACAGCCCAGGTTCTGGGCATCAGCTGTCCTGTTTTTCATCTCCCCCATCTTTGCCTCCCCTTCCCTTCATAACTGTGATCCTTTCTGGAATAGCAAAAGTTAAAGCTTGGTGAGTAGTTCGAGCTGTTTGCATCTCAGAGCTGAATACGCTTGATAATCGCACAAATGCATAATTAAAGAGCAGAAAAAATGACTCACTGGATAAGGAAATGCGCTTTTCTTATCTCCTCTGCAGAGAAATGAAAACCCCAGGAGCCTGGGTCTCCGGCTAAGTCCTTTTATTAAACAAATAAACCAGAAAAGGTATCAAATGAGCGATTTAAGAATTATGTCTTCATCTCAGAGTCAGACAGCTCGATTTCCAGTGCCGTTTGCTCCCATCCCACACCTGGAAGGCTGACTTTGGCTGAGGTCAGCTCGGATCAGCTGAGATCCCTGGGATCCCTGTGGGGGACAGGGCAGTGCTGGTGCTCCAGGAGCATGGAGGGTTGGCAGTGGCCTGCGAGGGCTCGTGCACACATGAGTGACTGGACTCGTGTGAGCGGTTCCTCTGGTCTCAGGGGTAGGTGAAGTGACTCACGCACGCACTTGCAAAACCGCGTGTAGCAGAAAATATCCCCCGAAAGTTCACCTTGTGCTCGTGCACACCGGAAACCCAAAGGCTTGTCGATCAGAGAAGCTGTGAGGTGTTTACTGAGCAGACCCAGTTACCTCAGGACAAACGTCTGACAGGATGCACCCAACGCCTCGGGAACATCTCGGCACAGCCTGACACCTGCCCCGCATTCAGATGGTCCAGTAAAATGCCTTGGCTGGAGCCAACTCCCAAAGCCCATTCAGCACCTCATCCTAACATCCCTTCCCAACATCCCTGTGCTGGCTGGTGGGAAACATCCCTTCCCAAAAAGTACCACTATGGCTATTAGGAGCTGATTTCTCATAGCTCCAGCATAAGCCTTCTCCTTGGGATGCCCTGGGATCCTTCATAAACCCAGGTGGGCTTTAATTTTAATTTTAGGAATAATATAGGAAACCAAAGGTTTCAAGAGGTTCACAGTCACTCTAAACTCTAAACCCCAGAGCACCTCTGTAGGTGCTCTGCTTGCTGTCAAGGGGGTTTGTGACACTGCTTAACCACCTGTATGGGGTGTTTGGTGTGGGGCAGTGTTCCAGCCTGTGGGGCAGAATTTGTCTCCCTTCTCCTTGTTTATATGTCCCTGGACTTCCACAAGGCTGAATAAAAAAGGTCAGGTGTCCTTGCCTCCCTCTGCAAGGGGCCTTGGACCCCCACAGGGATAATGCTGAATACCCAAGTTAGACTTCTCAGTGGGCTGCTTGTTGAAGAACTTTCTGGGGTTACAGAAGAGTGGGTCAACACTTCCTGAGCTCAAACTCCCTCTGCCCATTCCCTCTCCCTGATCCACAGAGCCTAAGAAGGACAAAGCAGCACAGAGAACACAGGAAAAACCTCGTTTGTCTGATCCAGCCCTGAAGAGGCTGAGCCCTTGATGTTCCCCGGTGGGGAGGAGTGAGGGGTTTTTCCAGCTGGTGTGCTGGCTGCTCTTGCTGCTCTGCAGAGTGTGGGGGGGACTCAAGCCTTGGGTCCCTGGCACTGCGCTGGCTCCTGAAAGTTCCACCCCATCATGAGCAACACAGCGTTGGCTGAGCCTGGCTCTTCTGCCTGAAGGTGAACAAACAGTACTCCCTGCCCACTCTGCTTTGCAGCCGGGATGCTGCCCCCACCCCCATCCTGTGGAGAAGTGGCATCCTGTCCTGTCTCCCTTGGGCAACTGGGGGGG